CATGGTACAATTAGTCTTCAATGCTTTCTGTGTTAGTATCTCAGTTGTGGTTTTCATTTGTATTCCTCTGATGCATAATGTGAATCATTTTATTCTAATGTTTTAAAATGTTATAATACCTAAATTACTTTTTCTGTTAAAAAAAGAAATGGTTATGATAATAAGATCTATGATCAAATATTGTGCATAGTATTACATTTAAATATCATTGATTGAGTAAAAATTGGAAAATAAATAGCTAAGTCACTTAGCCTGTTTTATTCACTGTAGTTCTGCAGGGAGCTCTTCCCAGTCCTCATCTTGCTCTGGGAAGTTTATATTTGTAATCCCAAGAGCAAGTTATTTGAATTCTAGTGAGCTCATTCCAATCCAGCATTCCAGTATGACCCACGGCGAGAATAAAGATATTTATAGCTATGGAGAGCCAAGGAGGCCCTAAGTCCAGCCAGGATGAAGGTTCACAGGAACAAAGACCTCAACCCAGTGCCAAACCCAGATTTTATTAAGTTGTAAAGAAGGGCGTGGCTTGAGGATGAGTGACTTAGAATGGCACAAATACATGAGTGCTATGGGCTGGGCCAGGTAGGAGACCTGAAATCACCTCGACCGTATGCAGAGAGACAGATCACAGAGAGAGTCATCTGCACCTTGCTTCAAAGACGACTGTGCATCAGCCCCTTGAACAGGCTGGTTTATATTGCTTAAAGCCAACTGACGGAACGAGGAAAAGGCCTAGCCAGCTCTGTACATACCAACAGGTGGAAACAGGACCAGGTTTAGCCAAAATAGTAATGCTATGCTTTCAAGGACAGTCAGTTGGTCCTCCACGTAATTCATTTCTAGTTCTAATGTTATTCAAGTGAGATCTGGAATATTCTTTCCTACTTTCTGTCCTTGTATTAGAACCAGATCCTGCCTGGCGTGTTACTCCAGGGCCTAACAGGTATTTAAGTCTCTGAGGCTCAGTGGGTTGTATCTAAGTGCCAGGAGCAATACTCAGGGGCATGCCTCGCCAAGTGAAGCTTGGTTAGGCCCTACTGCCTAAGGCAGTTAAGGTGGGCGTGAGTTACTCTTAGCCTGCACAACATGTGGATGCTACCAGGCTTAGATAGTAAGACGGTGATGAAAATAGCAATTAAGAATTTCTGGCTGCAGATATGGAGGGTTGGCCCTGGTTGTGTCAAAGTCTCTGTAGTGGAAACTTCTGGGTCTTTCTCCTTAGTGGCAGTGGCTCTGGGTCTCAGGTGCTTATGTAAGGGCTCTAACTTTCCCTCTCAGTTTGAAGGGAAGGTGTTAGGGAAGCACTCTTCTGTTCTTTCTCATAGCCATGAACGGAAGGCAGTCTCCAGTTACTTCCTCAGCTGTATAAACCTCCTAACAGTAAGCGTAACAAACTACTTACACAATGATACTTGTTCCTAATGCCTCTTGTTGCCCCCAGATTTGAAATCTTGATGGCAAGTCCCACATCTCCTTAAAGGCATGGTGCTAGCAGTGTCTGGTATATAATTGGTAGCATATTTGTTAAATGAAAGACTGAGAAATTAGGGGAAATTTGTGGAGAGGAGCAAAAGTGAGTTCTCTAGCATAAGAATATAGACTGGTTTTATGGTTTATGTGACAACTGTCCCCAGAAAATATCTATTTGGGGATTTTACTAAAGCAGATGATTAGATGCGGTCAGGACTTGGCCTTTTCCTCCCATCATCCCCTCAGTCTCAAGATAGAGGTCTGGAAGGAGTCTTGTGCAAATTGACAGGAAGTCAGGATGGGATATTTCTGAAGGTGCTTTGTAACTGAAAAAAAGAAGAAAGAAAGAAAGAAAGAAAGAAAGAAAGAAAGAAAGAAAGAAAGAAAGACAAAGAAAGAAAGAAAAACAAAGAAAAGAAAAAGCATTTTCTTTTGGCCAGAATTGTAACCCTCAAATGCAGGTCTCAGCACAACATTCTGGTTTTAAGTGTGGGCACAGGAAAGGAAAGGCTGCCTGAAGGGTTTGCACCTTTGGCAGCTTGGAAAGTAGCACTTTGTGTTCCAGCCCTGAGGGCTGTGAGAGCTCAGGAAGCTGAGCTGCAGAAGCTGCAGGGAGCTGACAGTGGCACTCACAGCCCCACTTTAGACAGCACGGCTAATGGCACCTAGCACTCTCTGCTGCAGCAGGTGGACTTGGAGACGGTAACAGGTGTAAATCTCTGAAGGGTTCCATCTCTTTTCTCTCTCAGCATGCTTAACACCACTGAGCTGAGCCTTCTGCTCACATGTAATGATGCACAATTTAGGTGTGACTCTGAAGGAGCCCCTACTGGTTAGGGCAGTTTGTTGGTGTCAAAAACTCTTCATGCAGCTTTTTGTTAAGGCTGAGATTAGTTTGAAAATGTATAGGGTACGGCTCAGGCCAAATGTGAATGCAGAATCCTTGGAATTCCAGTTTCTGGATGCAGCATGAAGAAAATCACAGCCTAGAACATCCTAAGGTGCTTCGCAGCCTTAAACACAGCAGCGTCAGCAGGACGGAAACACACCAAGGTGGCAGAACCAGGTTCCTTCTTGGCATTTTTATGAAAATTTTAGCAAAATGCATATTGATCAGCACATACAAGCCCAGGTGGCATAGCCTTGTCTGTAAGGACAAAGTTGCCAGTAACCTTAATGTCAATCAAGAAGAGAATGGCTAAAAAACTGAGACATAGGCTTAGAATGGAAAAGGAGGCAGTATTAATGACTGGGAAATGCATCCAAGGTAATTTTGTAAAAGAAAAAGTCTATAGATACAGTGTGGTATCTTTAGTTGAAAATAAAATCTAGAAACCAAGGCCAATATTTTTTTAATTAAAAAAAGCAAAACAGAAAAAAAGGTAGAAATGATACAGAATTTTTAAAAAATAATATTAAGAAAAAATAACATTAAGAGATCATAACTAGTTGACATATTACATATTTCTATCTCAGAAGTAGTTATTCACAAAAGTAAAGCATAAAAATGGACAATCAAACAGTGACAGCACAATCTATCCTGTTTGATGAACTAACAAAACTTAGTAGTGTGGTTATCTATGTTGCACACCTAAACATATATTCAGTTATATGTGTAAAAAGAAATACACTGAGCTGATACCAACTATGGAAGTTGGAAATGTAACAGAGCAGAGAAAGTAGTAGGGACTTTAGTTATATTTGTAAATGATTTTCAACGAGAATGTGCAAGCTGTATTATTAGCACAAATATTAAATAGCATTGCTAAATAAAGTGAAATATTAAAATAAATTAAAAATACCCCTAATAAATAAAATATAATGTTAGAAGGCACTGATCAGTAAAATACAATGAAGATTTTTTGAGACTGTGCAACGTCTTTTTTCTCCCCAGAATAATGATAGTAAATCTACGTCAATGTGTAACCACGATGCTTTGGAAAGTGGGATTTTAGTAAGTTACACTTTGAAATAGTCAAGCAAGTCTTTATGATTTAGAATATATCTTTATGTATTCTTAGACCCTATAAAAGAATATTGTTATTCAAAATTGTAATAATAAATCATACATCTAAAACTTAGATACTTTCTACCTCTCAGGATACAATAATCAACACATCTAATATTATATCGTGAGGACAGCTCATATGGAAAACAGCACATTGTCCTGTGGGTGAGGGTCAGGATGGTACTTACTCCTCAAAGGACATACACCGTGTGTCAAGATGATGAACACCAACGTCTTTCTCCTATCACATCCTTTGCCAGGAATTTATCTTACATTAAAAAAAAAAAAGCAGACATTTAGAAACATTGATTATAACAGTATTTGTAAGAACAAAAGCTTAGAATCTCCTATTTAAAAACATGAACAAAGAGCACAATAAAAGATGGGCATGAGGAGACAAAGGAGTGTATCTCCTGCAAATGGGAAAGGGTCCTGGAGAAGAGGGCGAGCAAAGAGGGGGAACAGGAGGGGAAACAAGCCAAATAAAGGAGCCTAATAACCTCAGTAACTGTAAATATTACATATCATAAACGTGAAATAGGGTTAATAATACCCACAATAGTGAAAATGGGGAAAGTAGATTTAGAGGAGGAGAGAGAGAGAGAGGAGGACTAAATGACTAAAATTACAGAACTTTTAGGTAGCTGAGGTAGGACTTGAACTCAATTCTTTTGCTGCAAGGGAATGTTCATTAAGTCAAATTCTTTTACTATCATAATGTATTATCAATAAAAAGACATCAAATGGGATGAGCCAAGGCTACAGGACTCCATGAAAAGTCAAAAATGTCAAACATCAAGATCTGACAAATCTCTGGAATTCCTGTCCATATATAAAGCAAGAATAACAGCAGTAATGTGTGTACACCAGCATGGATGTCATCTGTCATTGACGGGGCCAAATAAAAATGTCTTTTTAGTCCTCATGAAATCTTCCAAGGTAGGTAATTTCTAGAGCCTCATTCTAGAGATGAAAAAATGGAGATCTAGAGAAATTATAAGGTCAAACAGTTGAAAAATAAGGGCATTCCTGCAGAAACTCATACCTGACAGTTCTTCAGTATATTTTTCCAGGTGTCACAGTGTCTCCCTCTCGGGAGTGTCTACATGCTTTGGTGAGAGGGTGCTTTGGCAGGAGGGAGGTTCACTTTGTGCTTTGGTGGGAGGGTCGTTTTGAATTTCACCTGGAGAATTTACAGGGCCCATGAATCTGATTGATCTAGTCCAGGTGGTCTCCAGTTACGTTCTGAAAAACATTATTTTATGTATTTTGAGAATATTATACCGTGTCAGCCCAATAGAAATATAGTGAGAAGCATTGCTGTTGATTACTCTGACACTTCCTGAAGGGGATAGATACATTTTAATTTCTGGAAACATGAAATACTGTTGTGTATGCACACATTGTGTGTGTGTGTGTGTTTGACTGCATGTATGCGTCTGGATGACTTTAGGTTTCCTTCTCAGTAGCATCAGGCTTGGCCAGCTGTCCAGTTAGTGTCCTCACATACTCACCCACCAGCATGGCTTTTCTGGGAGTCACATCACTTACAGGCTTGCTTCTTTCCCACTTCTTAGGCATCAACAAAAACCGGCTTGGTGTATGTGGCTGGATTCTGTTTTCCCTTTCTTTCCTGTTGATGATCATTACCTTTCCCATCTCCATATGGATGTGCTTGAAGGTAACACCCTGGGAAATAAATGGGGCTCTCCCAATGAACTGAGGAGCCATTCAGACTAAATGCTGTCCCTTAATCTCTTAGATCATTAAGGAGTATGAACGCGCTGTTGTATTCCGACTGGGACGCATCCAAGCTGATAAAGCCAAAGGCCCAGGTATGACATCGGGGCGACCCTGCCCCAGATCATGGGTTCCTCTGACCGCAGGTCCAGGCACCAGCACTCTTCCTAGTAGCTCCTGTGGAGAGTCAAAGAAACATCAGAGCTTGAGCTCCTGTCTTTCAGTACAGGGGAAGGACCTTTCCATGTTTGGAGAGTCAGAGGGGAGGGCCACCAGTTTGAGAGTTTAGAAATCTAAGCCAAACCCTTCCTGTGAGAGCGTGGTGAGCGTTACACTTGCGTTGTGTTATTTACTCCAGGCCCACTAAGGGCGTACTGGGCGAATGAATGGACAGCGGAGAACTCAGGGCGTTCAAAGAGCTGGATTTTTATTCTAACTCCTTAAAAAGGACCAATGGAAAAGCAGAAGACAATTTCTACTTACTGTAAATTGATTAATAGAGTTAGAAGCCATTGCACATCTCCTTCTTTGAAGTCCTCTGGTTTTTAAAATAAAGATCCCAAAGCCAGTATAGCTTTAATGATTTACCAATCATTACTCTTACGGTTGGAGGGAAAGATAAGGATTTAAGGCTTTTTAACACCAAATATGGTATTTATTTCCATCTTTACAATTTTTGGAAGAAAAATGTTTTGAATAGTTCATATGTAAAAGGATTTTGGGGGGCAAGGTAAAGATGCATGTCAGATATTAAAATGAGATCTCCCTAGAAATGAGATCTTGATTTCACATAACTTCTTTTAGGGTATATTTAGTAGAACTCAACAAACTTATTTATAGTTTTTGACTGGCAAGAATGATGATTAATTCTAACATTTTTGACAAGAAAGTCTGTCAAAAACTATCTTAGAAAGCTCATGAACAACAAAGCTATGAATGATATTTATCTGATAACATTTGTTTTCTGTCCCCACTTATGTTGTTCAGATTCCTGTTTTGTGAAAAAAAAATCAGCAACTTCAGAAGGAAAAGTGTGTAAATGAAGCTTGGGCATTTCAAGGAGTGTGAGCTTACTTGTAAGAATCTTAAGAAGGGGCTAGGGATTTAGCTCAGCAGCATAAGTGCCTGCCTCGTAAGTGCAAGGTGATGAGTTTGATCCCCAGTACAAAACAAAAACAAAAACAAAACAAAACAAAAACAAACAAACAAAAAAGAACCTAATGAAAAGAATCAAGAATTACTCATTAAACATGCTCTTATGAGTTTATCAAGTGTAAGCCTCACACAACAAAGAAATAAAAGAGCCAAGTTATCTCTTTCCCAGTTGTCTTCTATGTGGTGGGGCTCAGATTATTAATTACAATAAAATTAGATCTAAGAGAGGCAGAAGAGCCATAACTTGGAGGACTCTGGGTACAAGTGTATCTCTTTTAGATGAATTTTCCCTGAAGATTTCACCACTAAATGTCCCAGGCTAACAACTCTCGTCATACATGTCCCTGGGGCTAATGACTTAGCTCAGAATGTCATAGGACCAGCGGGAAACAAGCCAGATTGTTAATGGAAAATCTCTCCCCTTTCGCAAATTGTGTGCTATTCTTTCATACTAAAAGTATTGATGATTAGAGCTTCTGGGCACCACGTTTGGCACTTATTTCATTAACATAGTTCATGCTTCCTCCTCTCTAGCTTTGCATATGTATTAGGCAAGCAAAGCTCAGGAAGACTAGTGGACTGGTTCCTACTTGCAAATCGACTAAGTGGCAGGCTGGAATTTAACACCCCCTGGTTTTCAGGGCTCTGAATCACAGCTGTGTTGACAGTCAGTAATTCCTGCCATGTCTCAGAAAGGTTTGGAGACAAAAAAAAAAAAAAAAAAAAAAATGCACCTGGCAGTGTTCTCTTGTCATGTTATAGGCTCTTCCCATGGTACTTAAACTAAAAACGTGTTTATGTTTCAAGGACAATAATAATAATATAAAACATTCTTGAAAATGAAAATGGATTAATGTCCCCATCTTGCTGATGAGCCTTGTAGCTCTAATTCTTGTAGATCCTGCAATAAAGAAAGAATATTTTTCAGGGCAAGTGAATTTTCTTATGTTCATCTTTCCCTGACAAACTCTAACCCCAAAACGTCACAACTCAGAGAAAAGTAAGGTGCTTACAGTTGGGGGACTTGAGTCAGAACACAGCTGTGGAGAAGCTGTTGGTTCAGCAACGCACTGGTTTCAGGAAATCTGAAGTCCTGGGCATATTTCAATTCAGTATTTCTGCAGTATAATTGAACATGCTAAGAATATGGACAGTCATTGATATTAGATGCCAAAATTATTGTATGCAAGTGTATATATATTGTATTTTATTAGATGGGAATGAACATCCATATCCTTTTAAGTTAATGTCAGATGAAACATTTCGATGAATGTAAGATTTTAATTGCTAGGAAACTACATTTCTTTAGTCACTGACTAATAGGGAGAATTCATTTTCCCCAGAGATAGATGTGCTCCCATCAAAATTCATCTGAGGGACACAGAGAGCCTCGTAAAAGTGATATAATATATATCCCTGAGACTCTTTGCTATAATTATTTTCAACTGGGTAAAATGTTAAATCAGTTTTCTTCTCTATAGGTTTGATCCTGGTCCTGCCCTGCATAGATGTGTTTGTCAAAGTTGATCTCCGAACAGTTACTTGCAATATTCCTCCACAAGAGGTGCGGAATCACAGGCGGGTTACTAGAAATAAAACCTGTATCTTTTCTGTTCCATGGACAGCCGAAATTTTGCAGTGTGATTTTAAATGATGTGGGGACAAATGAACTGAATCACCCCAGGAGTTGCTTGGGTTGCCTGAGTGGCTTTGGAACATAGCAGGCTTTGTTTGGCAACTGAGAATGAAGCCCAGGGCAAATGTGAGAAGACTTGGCATTGCCAGGTGGTTAAAGGCCTGAGAGAAGAGATGCAGCCGGCAGAGAAGCCGGGGTGCAGACAGCAGAGCTGAGAAGAGACACAGACATCACTGCACTCGGGGCAGTGACTGGTTATGTCACCTCTCTATTATCTTCCAGAAACTTTTTAAAAAGTATCTACATGGCTTATCTTTGTGTTTCATTTTAAGTGTGTGTGTGTGTGTGTGTGTGTGTGTGTGTGTGTGTGTGTGTGTGTATTTGGATACAGCAGAGCTGAGCAGATAATGGAACAGCAAAAGTTGTACAGGGCTGACCTACATTTGGATTTCAAATATATATATATCTTGAAATGTTATGATCAACTAACCAAAAGCAATAACTAGGCAGGAGGGAAGAGGAATATAGCTTAGTAACAATCAGGTTACTCTGTCATAAAAAGAAGAAAATTGAGTAGGTCTAGGGTTGGGGAGGGCAAGTGCTGAGGAACTCAGCCAAGAAACATCATCTCATATCAGGAGCCACAGGAGACCGAATTCAGAACTCAGTCATGGAGGCCTTGGAAGTCTTAATGACCTAACTTGGGTTTTCCTGCTTGAAATGGTTGGTTTCAGCCTCTGTTCCCATGGTCCATCCAGAAATCTCTCATTAATCAGGTTGCTTGACGCTGCCTCTCCGTGAAGCTTGAGTCTGCTGTACTTGAACAGAGAATATGGTCTCTGGCGCCATCTATGTTTCCTTAGAAAAACTGCTCAGCCCAGTCAGCTAAAAAGTGAAACTTATCACAGATATTGTCAGGATAGCAAGCGTTCTTGTTGTTTGTCTGTTAAATGGAAGATGCTACAGTTTCAGAAGGGCTATACCATTACATTTCAGAATGAGAATATTTATTCTTACCTTTAAGTCAAGGGCTTCTGTCTATGGGATATAAATCTTCTCTAAGATTAACTTACAGGTGTAGATAGGCACCAGATCTGTGTAGGAATATTTTCATCAGGCAGGATGACATTACATTTAAGCCAGGGCATGTTTTTAATGATAGCTAGTATAAATTATCATTAATGCTTTCCTGGGGAAGAGGGCTCTTGGGATGGCTGTCACTGCGTCAACTGCTGTGAAAGTAATATGCACATAATTTTATGCCTCTCACACTACAGATCCTCACCAGAGACTCTGTGACTACGCAGGTGGATGGCGTTGTCTACTATAGAATCCATAGTGCTGTCTCAGCAGTGGCTAACGTCAACGATGTCCACCAAGCCACATTTCTGCTGGCTCAGACCACTCTGAGAAATGTCTTAGGCACACAGACTTTGTCCCAGATCTTATCTGGAAGAGAAGAGATTGCCCACAGCATTCAGGTAAAGACACGAAGAACGAATAGCCTAGATCTTGAGTTCACTTGTTGTAAATGTCTGTGACTATCAGACACCAGCAGAGTACTCCCTCATAAGTGTTAGTACACTCTCTCTCTCTCTCTCTCTCTCTCTCTCTCTCTCTCTCTCTCACACACACACACACACACACACACACACACACATAAATGTTTGCTCTAGAAAGGTAAGTTTGTTTGTGCTTTCATCTGCCTCTTTCCAAAAGGTATACTTATAATTTAACACTTTGATGGGAGAACAGCTGCAGGAATTGTATCCTTTATCTTTGTTCTTTGGAATTCAAAATTATGATCTAACATTGAATATTTTATCCTTCTCTGAGGATGTTAGAGACAGGATTTGTTTTCAGTTTTACTCCAGAATTATAGCATTTTCAGGTGATTCTTGTATTTTTAAATTGCAGTAGAATGTAAATTAAGACAGGACTCATTTAGGACAGCAAAGACATGCCACATCTGGAAATTTCAAACATATCCAAAATACACTAATGGCAATAATTATTATCACTGAGCTTGCAGTATGTATGATCTCATCTATTGCACATTTTAGTTCATAAATTGCATTTTAATTGTCTTCAATCAATTACATTTTCTTTCTCAGCCCCCTTTTGCTGTTAGGACTTGGGTAACTTTTCATCTGTCCTGTAGTCTTTGGGTAGTGCATAGACACTACGGTTTTTTTAGTTTGTGATTCTGTATGCGAGTTTCCCATATCATTGTCAGAGCCCCATGGGTTCAACAACTTACATGCTTCCCATCTAAAACCAGGCCACTGGTTTCTTTTAAAGTCTTACCAACTCTAGGATCTTGCAGAAATCAGACAGGTAAGGGATAACTCTCTTCTGGTGGCCAAGATCTCTGCCCTCTCCTTTGGGAGAGCTGCCTTTCTTAGCTGTTAATTCCCCAAGCATCTTTGACATCTTTTATCTCCAGGATAATCAGTGAGACGTCTCCCATGCTTTTAAAGTCAAAGATACCTTTGACTTTAGGCTACTTTTAAAAATATACCTTAAAGGTTATGCACTAAAAGGATGTTTAAAAATGCCTATCTACTTATTTAACACTAGTCAAGAAGCAGATGCTAAAGAAAGACAGACAAGTAAATATCCACTAACACTACGCACTGAGTCATTGCTAAGCAATAGTACATATACGTATTTTTCTAAACCTCATAAAAGTCCTGACATGGAACCTTTCGTAGATGAGAAAACTGAAAATCCAAGAGTTTAAGAAACTGGTTCAGTAACTCACAGTGGCAGCAGACAGATCCAGGACAAAAATCCAGGTCCATCTGAGAAGCCCATACATTGCAGTGTGTTTATTAGTGACAAGCAAATCCATGGCATTTGCTGAAACCCAGGAGGATATCATACATTTTTGAAGGATACTTATGGGGTGGATCCTTCCAGTGGACCACTTATTAAAAGATCTGTCAGAGTGTGTTCATGAGACCTCCTACTTCAATTTCAAAAAGTATTCTATTAGATTGGGAAGGATTATCTTCCCAAAAGAGTAGAAATGTATAGCTCATTATCTGTTTTCTGATTAATGTCTTACTTTTTAAAAACACATTTGTAAATAGACTTTGCTTGACGATGCCACTGAGCTGTGGGGGATCCAGGTGGCCCGAGTGGAAATCAAGGATGTGAGGATCCCTGTGCAGTTGCAGAGGTCCATGGCTGCAGAGGCTGAGGCCACCCGGGAAGCCAGAGCCAGGGTAAGGACTGCTCACTCAGTAGGTGTGGGAGATCTGCCTACTGTGGGGAAGACAGGGTGGAGCCTGAATGGAAGAGCAGGTTCTGTCAATTATTGCTGTAAGGAAAAAATTTTTCTTTGCATTAAAAGGCAATGAACAGCACAATGCACTGCACAGAAGCATGGTAAGAGGTCAGTAGGATGCTTGGCAAATTGCTGCAGTTAAAAATGTGTGGGCCCAGCCCAGGCTGGACATCAAAGTCTCCTAGGGAATTTAACAAGCAAATCACTTACCCAGCTGAAGCAAAGTCTGGTGTGTGCCCGGCTACCAACATTTTATAATGCTGGTGTTTTGATCACACTCTACTTGATGCTTCTATTTGGAGTATTTCTGTTCTAGGTGTGCTAAATGTCACTGGATGGCTCAGTCAGTTTTCTCAGTGCTGGGAAAAAATATCTGACACTCACAATTGAGGGGAGGAGAAGTTTGGTTTATAGTTTTTGGAAGATCCAGCCTATATTCAACTTGTTTCAAGCAGACACAGCATGGTGAAGAGGTGTAGTAGAGTACAGGTGCTCATGTCATGGTGCCAGGTGACAGAGAAGGGAGGGGCTGGGGAGGAGACAGATCCTTCCAGGTCCCACTCCCAGTGAGCCACCTCGTAGGCGGTCCACTCCCTAATAGCAGGTCAGCTACAGTGGCCCCATGATCCCTCACCTCCCTAAAGCCCCACCTCTGAACACACGGGATTTAGGGAGACATTTTAGGTCCAAATCATACCACTGGATGAAAAGGGAGTAATTAAATATGTTGCAGATTAGAATCACAAAATGTAGACCTAGTCGGGCTTCAGGGGTCCTCAGAACTGTTGGATTTGTAAGCTTCATGTCCATGTGGATAGGTTTCCTGGATTACCACACACAGGGGTCAGGAGTTTTGGTGTACTCTCTTTGGAATTTTCCTTGTGATTAGATGAAGGTTTTCTGTACTCTCATTCCCCATTCCTGTTTGATTTACCTACTGAGTTAAAGCAGCCATCAAGCAGGGATTTAAAGCCAGTGAAGCAAACATCACTTTTGCATGTGGACAGTGAGCCCCAGCCAGGTTGTTCTTGAGCATTCTGGGATCTAGAGGGACCACGGAGTAATGAAGAGAGTCCCCATGAGGTTATCAGGCTGCCACTGGCTTGTATTAGTCATCTAGAGTGGCAAGAACAAGAAGCAATTCTAGCATTCTAAGAAGGAGACTTATTTGCCATCAGAATGGAGTAAAAATATCTCCTATGATAAGTAAAAACAACAGAACAGCCACTACGAGTGCTTGAATTTCAGACATTTCTAAAATTGATTGCTGTAGCTAGTGAGGTGCCCGAGTTTCTAGAACCTTTCTAGGACAGATGGACAAGTGTATGCTTGTGTCAAATACAGTGCTTACTTTGTGTTTGAGAGTGAAATTCAGGGACTTCTAACTTGTCAACTATCTCTCTGCATTTTGTGCAGCTTCCTTAAATTTCTCCAATCAATCACAGTAGGACATGAAACATTTATCCTTGCCTAAGAAAGAAGCAGAGGAAACACAGACAAGAGAATGGGGCTGGGGAGGCATCAACAGTGACCCACAAAAGGAAGTCTTAGTCACAGTGATACATTTTATTGCTTTCGTTTCAGGTCCTTGCAGCAGAAGGAGAAATGAATGCGTCTAAAGCCCTGAAGTCAGCCTCCATGGTGCTGGCCGAGTCCCCCATAGCCCTCCAGCTACACTACCTACAGACCTTAACCACGGTAGCCACAGAGAAGAATTCCACCATTGTGTTTCCTCTTCCCATGAACATACTGGAGGGCATTGGTGGTATCAGCTATGATAATCCCAAGAAGGATAATGATAGAGCCTGAGGCAGCCAGTCCATGGCTTAGAGTCCTGCCTGTGCTACGAGGAAGATAGTGTTAGAGGTGATGGGAGGTCCAGCAAGGTGTAAGCCACAGGAACTCCACGGAGAACCATTAGCAGGGTAAATCTATAGACACTACAAGAAGAAAGTGAACCCCAACTAAGGGCTACATACTACTTTTATCTTTAAAACATAATCAACTTTGAGATACTCTTATATATTTAATTGTAATCATCTGATTTAGTAGCAGGGTCTTTCTTATAGTACAGAAGGAAATCACTGGGCGACTAGAACTGATTTCAGAATGAATACTTGTTCTTTTAAAAAGTACCCTAGATCATTTGTAAGTAGTATGGGCCTCACATTTATACAACACATTTGCTTCCAATTCCAGAGTAATTACTTGTTATATCTCCAGTGGTTGCAGCAAACCCTCCTCAGGGCTGAAAATGATGTCTGATGGCTCTTAAAGACAGAATGTTAGTCACAGACATAGGACCAGCCCCACAGGGCAAACTGCGCTCAGCTCAGAACCCCAGCCCTCTAGCTGTGCAGTACAAGTTTTCAGACTCCAGGAACCTTTGTCAGAAACTGGGACAGGGAAGAGCCAGTCAGAAAGTTCCAGCCTATTTATTTGCTTAGAGTAGGAATTCTTGTAAAGAGCTTTATTGGCTGAAACCACTAGGGGGCATCATCATGCGGATTTCAAGTTGTTTTCACTTTGGTAGTTAAGAGCTTCAAGTAATCAAGATTTCTTTGTAACCAATTTCCTCTCCTAAATAACCTGTTATTAATAAAGAAGCCATAGAAAATGAGTGTGCTTTAACAGCTGATTTGTTGGAGATTATTTTGTTGCCAGAGTACAATTTTCTTTTGGAATCAGTTTTGAGAAATGAGCTAGAATTTTTTTAAGTTCCTATTTTTAAATTATTTTGTGTTATTCTGTGTTCAGTCTTTCATGGATGCCAAGAAATAGCTCCTTTTTTTATAGACAAGAAACGGTTTGCAAGAGATCCAATAACTTGTCCGGTTTCTCTCAGCCAGTGGATGTTGGTTAGGATTTTTGAGAAGCAGGCCTGACAGCCAGGTCTTTGTTCTTACACAGGATGGAGTTTTACTAGGGATGCGGGAGGTGCTGCAGAAGGGAGGGGAGAGCACTCCAGTTCCTCTTGGGCCTCCAACACCAAACTTAGTTTCTGGATGTCCAAGCCCCCAGGGTAGCACTCAGGACTACCCTGCCTGCACACACGTGTATGTATAAACGCACACTCCTCACATGCTTTACACTCCTTTGCACACCTGTAGAACCTTACCACTTGCACCTCCCTGAGTCCATCTCTGCTCACAGCATTTCCCTGTCCCCTCCTCACACACATCTTGCTGAAATGCAGGCATTACCTAAACATGAGTGCACAATGGAGATCTCACTCTATCTTTGGTTTCTTTCTTTTTTTTTTTTTAATTTTTTTTATTTAAAGAGAAACAAAACAGTGAAAGGGTACAAGTAATACAGAATTCCAAGAAAAAAATATACAGTAAGAAATCACTAGTTAATAGATTACATATTGCTATCTTAGTTGTTCAAATTAAAAAATTAAAGCATACAAAGTGGACATTCAAACAGTGAGATTGCAAATAATTCTGTTCAATGATGCAACAAAAACCTAGTAATACGATTTTCTACCTTACACACTTAAATATACATGCAGTTATATCCTTTAGATCACTTTCTTTTCTTCTCTTTTTTACAATAACAATTACACATTTTGGGTTTTATTACTCCCACAGTTCTTATTCCTTTTTTTTTTTTTTTTTTTGAAGACAAAAAAACCAAATGTGACAAAGCAAAACAGTCAGAACAGAAGGATGGACATAGTACATGATGTAAAAACAGATACCAGCTTATCAACAATGGTTACCATTATGTCTCTTGCTATCTTAAAAAGAGTTGCCTATGTCATCAGATATTAATAGAATTGAACAAAACAGTACAGACAAAACCAATAAAACCTAAACATTGGAGATCTTACAGGACTTCAAAAGAAGATAATAGTCAAACCAGAATGGGCATCATAGTAAATATTACTGCCTTCAAAGTGGTTGCCTATACCCTCAAAATCGATACTATCAAACAAAACAATAGAGTAAAATCAGTCAAAATAAGATGGTGAGAGCAATACAGCGGTTCAAATCAGGTTAATAGGAAAACAAAAAAGTTACTATAATATATCCCGCTATTTTTAAATTTATTTTTCCCTTAATTAAAAAATAAGAAAAAATAAATTAATTTAAAAAAAGGAAAAAAAAAGGGGGAAATTGAGATAAAAGAGGACATAACAACAGAACGACACAGGTCAGAACAGAACAATTTAAGCATCATAGTGTTTCACCACCAGATAACCTGACATAATAGTAGTTACCATAGTGTCTCTTTCCTTGAAATATTTGAGTATAACTTTGCATACTATAGCATCAAACATATCAAGACAGTGTGAAACCATTCAAGAGAATGAAAGTATTACAGGGTATTTAGAACCAGCTAACAGAAAACAAACAACAGTTTCTATATTATCTCTTTGCCTATAAAAAATTTTGTTTATACTATCACATATATTAAAATATAATAAGATACAACATGTTAAAACAAATGGAAACAGATGAACAACAGCTTGATGGGACTTCAAAACAAGATGATATTAAATCATCACTAGCTATTATGATGTTTTGTTTTCTTCAAAATAGCTATTCATACTATCACAGACAATAAAATCGAACAACCCAGATTAAAACCATTCCAATTAATGAGTGAAAACATATGGCTTCAAACCAATATAATTGGGAACCATGATTAACACATACTTTTATGTATTCTTATCATTTCTTACATTAGGGAAACTATTCGGTATTTATACATGTGAGTTTGATTTACTGCACTTGCAAGTATGGTCTCAAGCTGCGTCCATTTATATATCTGAACGTGATCATTCTTTATAGCTGAGTAGTACTCCACTGTATAAAAATACCACAGCTTTTTTATGCATTCCTCAGTTGATGGACACTTAGGTTGTTTCCAAGATCTAGCTATTACAAATTGTGCTGCTATAAACATAGGTGCACATATATCACTGTGGTATGATGCTTTCAGTTCTTCTGGGAATATGCCTAGAAGTACAATAGCTGGGTCAAATGGGGCTTCCAATCCCAGCTTTTTGAGAAATCTCCAGACTGACCTCCACAATGGTTGCACCAGTCTACACTCCCACCAACAGTGCAGGAGAGTTCCTTTTTCCTCACAGCCTCTCCAGCATTTGTTGTTGGTGGTTTTCTTGATCTTGGCCATTCTTTCAGGAGTGAGATGAGTGTGGTTTTAATTTGCATTTCTCTAATGACTAAGGATGATGAACATTTTTTCATGTATTTATTTGCCATTTGTATTTCTTCATCTGAGAATTGTGTATTCATTTCAGATGACCATTTTTGGACTGGGTCTTTGAATTTTGGGGGTCTGATTTTTTTTTAATTCTTTGTATGTTTTAGACAGAGGGGCAGTTCACTAAGATTTTTTCCCAGTTTGTGGGTTTTCTTTTCACTATGCTGGAAATTTCTTTTGATGTGCAGAAATTTTTAATAAGAGGTGATCCCAGTTATTGATTCTGGGAAGTATTTCCCGTGTGGTTTGAGTCCTGTTCATAAATTCTCTACCTACTACTACGTCTTCAAGGTTTTTACCCAATTTGTCTTCCAATAGATTTAGTGTTTCTGTTTTAATATTCAGATCTTTGGTTCATTTAGATTTTATTTTAGTACATGGTGATAGGCATGGATCTAATTTTAGTTTTCAGTATATGGAGAGCCAGTTTTTCCAACACCATTTATTAAAGAGACTGTCGTTCTTCCAGTAAACATGTTTGGCCCCTTTATCAAACATAAGGTGGTTGAGTGTGTTTGTAGTTGTGGTTGTATCTTCTAATCTATTCCATTGATCTTCGGCTCTGTTTGGTTCCAGTACCATGTTGATTTTACTATAGTTGCTTTGTAGTATAACTTCAAGTCAGGGATTGTGATGCCTCCTGCCTTGCCTTTGCTGCTTAGAACTATCTTTGCTATTCTAGGACTCTTCTCGCTCCAGATGAATTTTAGGAGTGATTTCTTGAGATCTATGAGGTGTTTTTATCAGGATTGCATTGAATCTGTATAACAGTTTTGGGAGAATGGCCATTTTCACAATATTTATTCTTCCTATCCATGAGCAAGGGATGTCTTTCTATTTTCTGAGATCATCTTCAATTTCTTTTTTCAGTGTATTATAATTTTCCCTGTATAGGACTTCCACTTTTTTTGTGAGAGTAATTCCTAAATATTTCATTTTTTTGGTTGCTAGTGTGAAGGGTGTGGCTTCTCTTATTTCTCTCTCTGTGATTTTGTTAGTGTAGAGGAATGCTATTGATTTTTGTGTGTTGATTTTTTATCCAACCACAGTGCTCAATTTATTTATTATATCTAGGAGTCTTTCAATGGAGTTTTGGGGGTCTTTTATGCAGAGTATCATGTCATCTGCAAATAATGATAATTTAACTTCTTCTTTTCCTATCTTTACCCCTTTTATTTCTCTCTTGTTTAATTGCTCTGGCTAGTATTTCCAGTACTATATTAAATAGGAGTGGTGATAAAGGACATCCTTGTCTTGTGCCTGATTTTAAAGTAAAGGCCTTCAATTTTTGGCCATTTAGGATGGTACTGGCTGTTGGTTTGTCATAGACGGCCTTTATTATATTGAGGTAAAGACTACCTATTCCAATTTTCTGCAATATTCTTACCATAAATGAATGTTGGACCTTATCAAATGCTTTTTCTGCATCTATAGAAATGATCATATGATTCTTACTTTTGGTTTCATTGGTGTGGTGGATTACATTTATTGATTTACGTATGTTGAACCATCCCTGAATGCTTAGGATGAATCCCACTTGGTCATGGTATATACTCTTCTTGATGGCTTGCTGCATCCTAACTTCCAATATTTTATTGGGGATTTTTGCATCTGTGTTCATTAGGGAGAATGGTCTGTAGTTCTCTTTTTCAGTTGGATCCTTCTCAGGTTTTGGTACTAGAGTAATATTAGCTTCCAGGAATGACTTAGGGAGGATTTCTTCCCTTTCAATTTCATTGAAGAGTTTGAGGAGTGTTGGCATTAGGTCTTTTTTGTTTCTTGTAGAATTCTGCAGTGAATCCGTCTGGGCCTGGGCTCTTCTTTGTAGGTAAAGATTTAATCACATTTTCAATTTCATTAAGAGATTTGATTATTCAGTAGTTTTACATCTTCTTGACCTAGCTTTGGTACTTCATATGTTTCTAGGAATCTATTTCTTCTGTGTTATCAAACCTTTGAGTGTAGAGGTTTTCGAAATAGGTATTGATGATCTTCTCTATTTCTATAGGGTCTGTAGTGATTTTGCCTTTTTCATTCCTTATTGCGTGAATTTGAGCTTTTTTTTCCCTTTTTAAAATTAGGTTGGCTAGGGGCTTATCGATTTTATTTATTCTTTCAAAGAACCAACTCTTTGATTCGTTGATTCTTTGGATTGTTTTCTTAGTCTCTATTGCATTGATTTCTGCTCTGATTTTTATAATTTCCTCTCTTCTTTTGGCTTTGGGCTTGACTTGCTCCTCTTTTTCTAGATGTT